ATATATATATATATATATATAATTTTTTATTTCTAGAAAATCTTTACATTTTTCAGGGTGCTACATATAATGACTGAATTATATAAGGAAACTTAGAGTTTATATTTTATTTTACAAATAATGAAACTAATATTCACTCAGTCAGTTGTGCTGTAGTTAGAATCCATATTTCCCGAATCCCAATCTAGTGATGCAGGCTGTTTTAGAGCAAATATTATCCTCACACTGTAGATGGGGAAACTGAGCCCAAAACATCTAGGGACCTAGTCAAAGGTTGCTCTATTTAATCACAATAGAAGCCAGAATTTCCAGTTCCTAGTAGTTATAATGGCACTGAGTTTACACTCTTGTCACTGAGGAGTCAATACTTCAATATTTTGTTATTCTAATCTTTACTTTCCCTACCCCACAGTGTCTTTCATTTGTTTTTTATCCAGTCCTGGTCTCTCTAAAGAGGTCAGAATGATTCTGTTGCTTGCTGAGAAAGTAACCACTACTTTCTCCCACAGCTGAACTTCCTTTTCTTAGGCTTCATAACAATGTATTTGGGGTTTGGCTGTCTGGCCCTTGACCAGAGGCTATGAAACCTCCCAATGCAATTGAGCAAACCAACCTCAAGGAAATGGTTTCATATCTTGTTAGGTGACCCATATTCCAGGTTTTTTGTTTTGTTTTTTTTTCTCTGAAACAACTCTGGTTCACTGTTAGTCGTTTCAGGCAGAGTAAAGAGGAAGAGCAGCCTGATTCACAAAGAATTTCTTTCTTTTTCTTTTCCACAGTATGTGAGCTGGGCCCTGTCCCTTGGGTTCTGGACAAATAAATGAAGCTGCTGAGGGAATAGGGTAAGCAAGATGATTTTTGTAGTTACAGACTGTCCCATTTACAAGGTCAGTGGGGACCACAACTTACCAAAACAGAGAACTATGTAATTTAAAATGAGGAAATCTTGATCTACCAGAAACATGCAAAGACCTTTCAGGGTTTCTAAATGGCTTATATTCCTGACTGTATTGGAACAAAATATGCTGGAGGGTAAGGAAAAAACATGTACTAGAGGATCAAAATAGCACAGTGCTGTAAAAATAGAGGCTTGTGAGTACAGGCCCAAATTTGTTAGAACTCTGGACGAGCTCCTTCTTTCACTGCATCTCCTAACTGAAGGGTTTGGGGCCCATTCCAGATTTGGATGATTTGGGGAAATAAACATGTAATTGAAAGTGTGAATATAAAAGTAGTTCTATATTAATGTTTTTGGAGAGAAGAAATGAGGGAAGAGGGGGGATTCCAGAGAGGAAGTTATGGGCTGGCGTGACCTTAGATCAGTCCTTAACCCCAGGAGCTTCAATTTCCTCTTCTGTAAAATGAGATAATAGTTTCTACCCCATAGGGTTATCATGAAGAATAAATAAGTTAAAGCATGTAAACTCAGTCTGGGGATGAAAGCCTAGCACTATGGTGCTGCTGGTACTAGTGGTGGAGCTGAAGGGCGGGGGCATTAAATGAGTTGGAGGCTTTTGGAATCCAAGAAATAAAAGGGCTAGAAAATCTGGAGGCTAGCTTTGGGGCTGAGTGGGGCCAAGAGGCATCCCTGCCTCCCTTGATACATGGCTCCTTCCTCGCTAAAGCAATAGGGCCCTGCCATAGGAAGACCCCTGGAAAGAGGATCATCAGGGAAGCTTCGCCTGCGCCTCCTCTTGGTAGCCCCAGGGTGGAACTAGTCTGGGCCCCACTCCCTTCCCCAGCTATTTTGTGTCTTTTTTTTTTTTTTTTTTTTAAAGATGACCGGTAAGGGGATCTCAACCCTTAGCTTGGTGTGGTCAGCACAACACTCAGCCAGTGAGCCAACCGGCCATACCTATGTAGGATCCGAACCCGTGGCCTTGGTGCTATCAGCACCGCACTCTCCCGAGTGAGCCACGGGCTGGCCCTATTTTGTCTGTCTTTAAGTATGTTAAAGTAATTATTGTATGACCAAAAAAAAAGGCTAGAAAAGAACCATAAATGAGTTGATTGGGATTGAAGAGGCTGGGAGGTAACCCTTTCATAGCTCTGAAAAGCCGAATCAGGAGGAGCCAGGCTGGACTTTGGGTTTAAATTGGCTTTGAGGAGAGGATTCAGCCTGGAGCCAGGGAATGAACCAAGCTCTGAGACAAAAAAGACCTTTTTATGAAATGACCAAAAGAACTAATAAAAATGGCCTGACTTGGACTAGCGTGCAAGTAGGGGTAGTGGTGTGCTGGTAAATGTTTTTACAACCAGCTGGGAGTAGGGGGTGGGCGCCTAATTTGTAGTATTCACCAATTTCCATGGTGTAAATACATCCACCATTGCTGATTTCAAGCTACCAGTATGTCTGGCTGGCTCATAAAATACCTAAAATCTAACCATTGGCTCTAGCAGGCAGGCTCCAGCACACCAATGAGTAGGGGGACTAGCACAAAAGAGTCATAAGGGATTCAGATTAAGGAGAAGCCCACGACTTGAAGCGGGGAGAAACAGGCAGACACGGGAAGAGGCTAAATGCTTTTGGCCAAATTAAACCAGCTACCTTAGTAACATGAGATTGTTTAGCTTTATGCACTGATATTCCCTTGTATTGAGGTTCAACTGTCCTAATTATGTGGGAAAAAAACAAATACTTAGTGTACTTGAGAATGGCTGGCTCTCTGTCCTGAAAGCAGGAGGGGACAGGTAGAGAAATACTCAGAAAAATGAAAGGGAAAAGATCATCCTGAGGTTCATACTCCCTAAGAAAATCCCCCACTGTCTCTGGTCACTTGCACTGTTGTTGTCTCTGTCCCTGGTACCAAGAAATTATAGTCACAAGGAAAGAGAACCCTCGGGCCTTTCACTTTGGGCTGCCTGAGAGCTTTTTAGGTACATGAATAAATAAAATTATTAAATAAATATTGCTATTAATAGAAAAGATTTCCAGACTCCAGGATATGGTCCACTTACTGGAATAATAGTATAGATAACTGAAGAATGTGAGTAGTTCCGTTTAACTTTCTGTAAGAGAATTTTACCTGTATATCCAAAGGAATAGGGGAGAAGGGTCAAGGGAATGGTTATTAATTACAGGAAAGATTAGAAAGAGCTTGAGTAAGAAAGCTTGGCTGTGGTGATATACAGTGGAAATACAAGGCAAACACAACCTACTTAGTTGTTTCAGTTAGTCACTGTGAGGAAACGATTCCAAAGGATCGTATATTTAGGGAATGTAAAGCAGATCAGAACAAGCCAAATACATCTCAGTGGAAAAAAAATGTGAAATTTCAGAGATGGAAGCCAATCTTCTGTGGTCATCTCCCAGAATGGAACTAGTATTTCACAAAGTCCTAATGAAAGGGAAGTGGTCCAAAACACTGCTTAGATCATGGAGGAACAGAACTTCTTCCTTTCCCTGTAAACTAGACCTAAACAGGTGGAGGAAGGGCCTAGAAGTTAAAAGAGGCAACTGTCATATAAAGTGTTTATTCTGAGTTCTTTCTCTTGTGGTTTGGGATAAATTATTTCAAGTCACAGAACCTTATTTCCCACAGTTCCATAAAAATACCTTTGTTAAAACTCATTTTTGAAAATTTCCACGAAAGCACTATTGGAGTAGAAAATATTTTGCTATAAATTGCTATATGAACACAAAATACTCCTATACTATTATTTGTAACGTGAAATTTATAACTGAACACAAATTCTTCAGTATTACTGATATCCCAGCATAGAAAACAGGAGTTAGACTGAAAAAAAGCATAAGGTTTGATATCATCTGAATTCTTTTCTCTTTACTGTTTTGTAGACATACTATATGACAGCAATTTAAAGTCCAAGTTCGGGCCGGCCTGTGGCTCACTCGGGAGAGTGTGGTGCTGATAACACCAAGGCCCCGGGTTAGGATCCCATATAGGAATGGCCGGTTTGCTCACTCAGTGAGCGTGGTGCTGACAACACCAAGCCAAGGGTTGAGATCCCCTTACCGGTCATCTTTTAAAAAAAAGTAATAATAAATAAATAAAGTCCAAGTTCCCCAGATCCAGAGTAGGTTTGCAACACTTTCCCCAAATCATTGTAAAACTCTAGCAAAAGCCCCATCTGTAAGTATTTATCTAATGTACTGGTGATTCTTAGAAGACCTGGACTAAATGAAGCATGTTTTCACCTTTGCTCATTTTTGTACAGTACACATGGACAGCAGAAACCTTCAGTCACAGCATCACAGAATGTTAGGGCTGGAAGAGGCCTTGGAGATGATCCTGTCCAGTCCCCTTGTATTGTACATATAAAACCTGGAGCCTGAGAAGGAGAAATGCCCTAAGTTATATAGCCAAAAATGGCAGAGCACTGGACTAGGTTTTCTGTCTCCCTGTTAATAACTAAACATGTTTTTGGTGAATTCTAGAAATTTTCAACTAGAAACTAAGATCAATTCTAAGATAAATTTTACTAGAAAGTAAGATCAGTTTCTGCCTCTCTTCACTCAGTTATTTTTAGACTTATAAGGACCTGTTTACATAAAGGTTAAATTTTTAACTGTTCACCCAGGAAAGAGATTTTTCCCTAAAAAATTTCAGCAGGGGGCAGCAAACTTAAATATGGATCCCAATGCTTAAAATGATTTAAAAATGCAAGTTAATGCAACTTTCATCTCTAATTTTGTCCACTACCACCACCTCCAACAATAACAGCTTTTTTTTTTTTTTTAGTGCTTTACTATGTGCCAGGTACTGTATATGTTCTATGTATTATTTATCTCATTTTATATTCACAACAATGTATCACCTACGAGTTATATATTAACCCATTTTATAAAGGAAGAGATTTAGAGAGATTAAGAAATTTCCCCAAGGACCCACAGCTAGAAAACAAAAAAAGCCAGAATCCAAACCGAGGTTATTAGAATTACAAAGCCCTTAAATATCTTGTGGTCCTTCAGGGGCTGACTGCTTGAATATGATGTGGTAAGGAGTTAGAGGAAGAAAAAGAAAGACATTTTGTTATTAAATCATGTGAAAAAAGAACCTAAAAATAAAATGCCTATTATTTTTTAAACTAACAAACTGAACTGTTATCAAGGTCACCAGTGACTCCCATGTGGCTAAATCTAGTGGTCAATTTTTTTTTTTTTTTTTTTTTTTTTAAGATGACCGGTAAGGGGATCTTAACCCTTGACTTGGTGTTATCAGCACCACGCTCTCCCGAGTGAGCCACGGGCCGGCCCTCTAGTGGTCAATTTTGTTTGGCGGCTGGCCAGCAGTGGTCAATTTTGAATCTTCATCTTACTCGACCTATCAGCTGCATTTGACACAGCTGATCACTCCTTCGTCCTTTCCAGTACCCCACACTTGGGTTTCCTCCACACTCACTGGCTCCACACTCGCTGGTTCTGCCTCTTCTGCTGGAGCTCATGCCTTGGTCTTCTTGTTTTTATCTGTACTCATTCCTTTAGTGATCTCACCTAATATGACTTTAGTATGGTATTTAAATGTATATCTCTAGCCCAGATCTCTCTCTCTTGAAATCCAGATACTCATATCCAACTGTGTGCTGCTTATCTCCACCTACACATGGAAGTTAACATCTTGACTTAACTCGACCAAAGACAAATCCCTATAATGTCACCAAAAACAAACCCGTAATGTCATCCCTCACCACACATGCTCCATTCACACATAGCCTTTTGCATCTGTTGATGGCAAATCTGTCATTCACCCAAGCTAAAAACTCTTGAGTAATCTTTGACTTTTCTTTCCCTCACATGGGAGCATTTAGTAAATCATTTTGGCCCTACCTTCAGAACTAGCCAACTCCAACCACTTTTCGCCACCACTGCTACCACTCTGGTCTGAATCTTCATTCTCTCTCAAGTGGATTACTGAAATAAATATCACCTTAAAATGTTTCCCTGCTTCTACCTGTGGCTTCCTATAATCTATTCTCAATACACTAACTCAAAGTGATCTTTTAAAAAGTTAATCAGAGGGCCGGCCCGTGGCTCACTCGGGAGAGTGCGGTGCTGATAACACCAAGGCCCCGGGTTCGGATCCCATATAGGGATGGCCGGTTCGCTCACTGGCTGGGCGTGGTGCTGACAACACCAAGCCAAGGGTTGAGATCCCCTTACCGGTCATCTTTAAAGAAAAAAAAAAAAAAAGTTAATCAGAGGCTGGCCAGTTAGTTCAGTTGGTTAGAATGTGCTGCTAATACCGAGGTCAAAGGTTCGGATCCCCTTACCAGCCAGCCGCCAAAAAAAAATTTAAAAATCAATCAGGGCAGGTCACTTCTTCTTCTGAACCCTATATTGGCTCCCCATGTCAGAGTAAAAGCCACAGGACTTGCAGTTGCTTACAAGGAGCTACAAGATCTGGCTCCCATTTCCTCTCCAGTCACATCTCTTAACCTCACGCTGGCTTCCCTGCTCTTCCTTCCAGGAACGTTAAAGGCTTACTCTTGCCAGGGAGCCTTTGCTCCAGGTGCTGGCTGTTCAGGGACTACTTTTCTCCCAGGTGAGCTCCTCACTACCTTCAAGTCTTTGTTCAACTCTCACTTATTAAAGCTGACTCTGTCCACCTTGTTATATTGCAACCCCTCCCCCATACCCCAGCACTCTCATTCCGCTTTACTTTGCTGTATACTTTTCTATAGCTCTCTTTACTTTTTAACAAATGATATAATTTACTTATTATGTTCATTGTTTGTCTTTCTTCCCTGTCCCCCTCAAGAATATATTCTCCATGAGGCAACCATCTGCCAGTTTTGCTCACATATATTCCCCAAGCACCTAGATACTGTGGTAAATATATTTGTGGAATGAATAAAAAAGTTGAAGAGCTCTACTAATTAAGACTAAAATATTTAACAACAAACTAAGAGGCTAACAGACTAAGATTCCAAATTTCAGAATAACTTGCCACACAATAGGTGCTCAATAAGCATTTGATGAATGAAGGAACTATGTACTGTAATTTGAAAAAGAATCTCCACACATTTCCACAGGGTCCATTCTGTTTGTACAAGTTGGAGAGTATCTTGAGTTCCGCCTATTTTGTATCCAAAAGCCATTTTTGCTTTCATTTTGCCTTTCCTACTTCAGGAAAAAGTCCCGTAACTTCTATTGTATAGAATAATCACTTTTGTTCTCTCAATATTTCCATAAATTCTTATCTCCCAGATGGTTAAGGAATTTAAGAGCTAAAATAACATGAAGTTGCAGAGAAACAGAAACAACTGAAATGAAATAAAGGATGCTACTGAGAAATAAGCTTTTTGCGGGGATGGTATTTAGCACGAGGCAGTACAAGCGTGGAAGGGCAGCCACACAGAGGTGGGTTCTAACTTCAGCTCCAGCTCTCCCAAATGTGTGACCTTCAACTAGCTTAATTCCTGTGAGCTCTAGGTTCCTCGTCTGTAAAATCGGGATAAGTCACATGCCTTGTCATATGGATGAAATGTGACAAGGTACTGTGAGAAGCCAACACCTCTGCATAGTAAGCAATCAAAAACTGAAAGCTGTTATTATGATGAACTGAAAAAACTGCTTTTGCACCTACTGGAGGATCTTGTTAGGAGCCCAAAGGTTCATTTAAAGAGAAAGTAGGAAAATAAGTAAACAAAAGCAACCAAAAAGGTGAGAATATGGGTTTAAGGCCGGTTCGTGGTAATAAACACCTAGAGTGGGGAACAAGGCCTTCTCTCCGACATAGCTCAGCTGGGAGAACACCGCGAGCTGGAACCGGCCGCGCAGGGCGGGCACTCGCACAAGCCCGGCCTTGCAGGCGCTGTGCGGCGGTGCCTCGCTGGGAGTCCCGGGCCCGCGCGGGCGGGGCGGGCAGCGGAAGGGGCTTCCCGCCCGAGGCGCGGCCGCGGCCCCCGTTGCCTGGCGCTTTGCCGGGCTTGCGCTTTGCTCACCCGATGCTCCCGCACCCACAGAGGACGGCGCGGACGCCCTGCTTCCCTCTCGGCCCCGTCGCCGTCCCCATGCCCGTCCCCACCCCACCGACCCACTCCCCTGCCCCAGGCTGTCCCCCCCACTTCCTACTCCTGGCTCCGCCCGCAGAGCGCGGTTTGAACTTTTGAACCC